CTGGAGTGATACCTATGAAAAAGTTCAAACAACTACGTTAGTTTTGAGATACAATTAATTTTTTGATACAGTTTCCTTGAAAAAATCACAAAAAAAAAATGAATTTTTGTATGGGAGCCATGTCTGTATGATATCGTAATGAGCTGAAACTTTGCACAGATTATTTTTATCACACAAAAATAACATTCCGAGAGTTTGAAGACATTTCAATGCATATTGGGGGTACCTCCCGAAGGAAAATTTTGGATTTTTCACCCAAAAACGAAAATTTTGTATGGGAACTACCCTTGATATTCAAACTTTCAGAATGTTAACTTTTTGTGAAACAATAACCTCTGCAAATTTTCACATGATTACGATATCATATAGGCATGACTGCGATACAAAAATTCCCATTTTTAGTAGTTTTTTATTAAAATGTGCGTCGAAAATTATTTGTATCGTAAAACTAATGTCAGATTCAGTTTTCTCGTGAATTCTTTGAGTAAAAGATTTGTAATAAATACATGTTGTGGATCACAGTACGAAAAAGTTCATCTTACGGATGTAAGACATTTTATTTTTTTTAAATTTTTGTGTAGGTAAAAGTGTCATTTTGTTTGCAATATTGCAATTTCATACTGAAATATTCAGATTTGAACTTGAAAGATGCTTTTTTGAAGAAAATGCCAATTTTCTCATAACTTTTAACTATAGTCAGCTTTTTTCCCGAAAACCGAACCATTCATGTATGTTTTGAAATGAATTCAATTTTTTTCATGGCCCGAAATTATTTATTCCATTAAGTAACAAATTATACACACAGCACTCCCGTTATACAATATTATAATAAGATTTGACGTATTTATAAAAGACAAGTACACACACTGAAGTGTTTACACACTTGTTTTAATATTTCGGAATTTTAATTTTGTTTTCGTCAAATGAATGACAAGTATTCGAATTCATTTATTTCGTTCAGAGCCGTCTTTAGTTTTGGAAGTCGGGATTCAAACTTTTGGACTTTTTTCTTCAAACTTTATTTAAACATATCAATAAGTTAAAAATAATGAATTTATTTTGTGTGTTGTTGATCGTGTTTGTTTTGACAGAGTATTCGGTAAATAATTAAATTTTCATTTTTTATTGTATTTTTTTCAAACTCTTCTCCAAAATTCAAATCAATATTTCTTTTCCATACATAGAAAACAGGTAACTGTCCACTTACCGGATGCCAAATCAAATAAAATTCAATTATACTGACCAAAGTCATTTACATTTATCACTTCATACAGTTGTTTCGCAAATTATTGATGGCATAGCGGTTGAAAATATCAAAGATTACAATTATATCGTTGGAATTCAGTATCACAGGAGTGACGGTGCTGATTTTTATAATTGTATTGGGACTATAATAAATAGTTACAAAATAGTTACTGCAGCACACTGTCTTTTTAACAACACGCCCAGCTTTACGTTGATTTTTGGGTCACAAAAACTCACCGAACCAGTTTATACCGTGAATATTACTGATTTAGACTATACAATTCATCCGAAATACAGTCGAGGTTTCTTTCAATATGTAAAATCAATTAAAATTTTATGATTCAATGTTTAATTGCTTTTGACTCAAGGTAGCCCGTACTTAAATGACATAGGTAAGAATGATAAATTTATTGTATTTCCGAAACAATATTAATGACTTGATGATATTGCTACAGGTGTGATTGAATTGAAAAAAGCATTACCATTTGGGGAGCATATTGGCAAAATCGATATGGTAGACAAGAAAATGATTGAAAAGGAATATGCAGGACATACGGGTAACTATTCTCCATTAAGAAAAACTAAAGGGGGATTATTCGAGCTTATATTCCCTGTGCCCATGAGTGCTTAATTGGTATTAATCGAACCCTCTTCCATCGAATTTAGATGAAGAAGTGACAATGTTAGGATACACGACATCGGAACATCCTAAACGAACCCCGTCATACAGTCCCTTAATGTCCGTTGTTTCGAAAATTGCCGATTTTGCTGAATGTAAACGGACGTATCGGAAAAGAAAACAAAATTGTGTGTTAGATTTTGAACGACAATTTTGCGTTGCTTTGCGTGGACCGCATCATAATATGCATTTATCGAATGCGGGCGATTCGGGAGGTATTTTCGTTTTTTGTTTTTGAGACTTGTGATTTTAATATGACAATGTTCATTGCAGGGCCTGTCATTCTAAAACTATGGACGAAAAGGTATGTATTTTATGAAATATTTGTTTTGTCATTTGCTTAAAAGTCTAATCGATTTTTTTTTGTCTCAAATGTCAGCTCCAAACCAAGTATAAAACATTTTTTCCTGGGTTTTACTTCGAACGACATACGTGGTCTCCCTGAAGTAAGTATCCATTTCTTCATAGTTAATACGTGATTTTTATTCCTGGATTTTTTATTCGTCCAAGATATGCACGAAAGTCGCTGGACATTTGGATTTTATTGCAAATCCAAAGGTATTATCGAAATAAATTGATTTTGTATACAATTAAAAGTAATTTGTTTTCTCCGAACTTTTTCCCTCTCATCCGCAGGCTTTTGTAGCGAAATATAACAAAAAGCAGAATGCTGCATCCAAATCGAAGAGCAAATTCAAGTTTTCAAAGTGTATACCCTCCATGTAAACGAAATAGAAAACGAACGAATTTCGGATGGCAACTGGCAACACTTTACTCCGTTGTAACACAGAATGTTTTGCTCTATAAGTTACTCTTTTTCACCTGTTTAAATAAAGTATTTTCTCTGAAGCGAGAGAATGAACTTAATTTTCATTAGTATTTTTAAAATTTTACTTGAGCTTACACGTCATAACAATCTACGTGGAAGCTCTTCTATTTGCGCAGAACGTGTGTTTTAAAAAAAAGAAAAATATACAATCAGACGTATTTTTTCACATAGCATCCCATTCTTACTCACTTACACCCATACATACCTTGAATCAATTTCCAAATTTCTTCAATTATTTAATATTTCTTATATAAGAATAATTTGGAAAAATGAGAAAAATAATATCAAAAATATGAAATACGGAGCAATTATTCCATTCGTAAGTGTTAATGGAGAATATCAATCGCACCAATATCCATAACAAAATGAGAATGTTAGATTTGTCCATTCAAGTTTATTTTATTTAATCAAACTTTGTTGTACTTTATCAAACGGATTTATTAACATTTCAATTCAATTTCATGCTATTTTTCAGAACTCTTTCGAGTTTTCGTTTATTTTGACTTCATTTCTAGTTATTATTTTACTTTGTTGTTTAAAGAAGAGTGATTGAATTTAAATGATCATTTTTGTATGATTTTGAAAAGAGAAAAGAGGAAAAGATGTCAAAGGAGTAGTGTGCCCTTATAAAATTTAATGTGATTTAAACGTTTTCATTTGATTATTCGGTTACTACGATTGGCGATGAATGGTCTTCATGTGGTGTTTAGCAGTAGCTTGCATTGCAAAACGTGCATCGCATAGTTTGCACGGAAATGGTTTTTCACCCGTATGATAGTTTAGCATGTGCAGCTTTAATTGACGTGAATCTGTCTTTAAATCTTTACACAAGTAGCACTGCTGTAGGCGACGATGGCAGCGTTCTTCGTGTGCTTTTCTGTCACCTTCTTTGGAAAATAGTCGATAGCATTTGGCACAACGGAATGGGCTTGGTTTGGCATGTGTAGCCAAATGTTTCTTAAGATCGCCTTTTCGACCAAATCTCTTTTCACAAACAGCACAATCGAATAGTTTTTGACCCCAGTGTTTTAGTTGCATATGTTGATTCAAATGACCTTTGTCAAAACATTGATGCGGACAGAGATAGCACTCGAACCGTCGGTATTTACATCGATCCTCATGCAACTGCTTTTTATTTTCTTGAGCGAATCGTTGACCACATTTGATGCAGGCAAACGGCAGTTGTTTGGTTGAGTACGCAAATGGATGTTGAGATGATGTTTGAGTACAAACGCTCTCTAAAAACATGGCATGTGAATGGCTTAACGCCACTGTGGATTCGCATGTGTTGCTTTAGATTAGCAAGTTCCCCCAAGGTGGATTGACATAGGTAGCATGTGTACTGATGAACTTTGCAGGCGTTTCCATGGCTGATCTTTTCAGTTTCGTTCGCAAATCCATGACGACATTTTGAACAATTGAATGGGAATTCAGAACTATGGATTTTCTTGTGCCTTTTCAAATTGCTCTTGAATGCAAAGGATTTGGCACATATTTCACATTCAAAAGGCTTTTCACCGGTGTGTGGGTTCTTATGTGACTTGAAGCATAATTGCACAAATGACATTTGTGTTTCTTCTGTGCACTTGCCATTGGTTTCTTCGATACTTTCCCGTTGCGATAATCTTTTGGACCTCGTTTCTTCTTGCCATCACCTTTTTGTTCCCGATTTGCACCTTTGCTGTTTAACCTTAAACTTGATCCGCTTGAGTTTCCGCCCAACAGTTCTTCGTTATCTGTTCCATCTTTGGAGCATACACCTTGTGCTTTCTCACATTTTTTCTCCAAGCATTCATCTTCACAGAATCGACTTCGCTGTCACTTTCGCTCTCTGATTTGATTGAGGCGTTTGCTTCGACTGGCGATGGTGGCAATGGATAATGAAGCATTTCGATGCCATCCGTGGGCTCTTCTTTGATCACAACTTC